GATGCACCAGTAGACTGCATTTAGTCGTGTTTTAGCTTAGTAGTGGGAGAGACGTCTTTGAAGGAAAGGAAGTTGCAGTTAGTTGTATTATGATCTTTTTTGTTATGTTCATATTGTTGGCATAAAAATTATTGAGTTCTTTCGTTGTACATCTACTTTGTGCTCTCAGAATACACTTGGTGCTTCCCATGGAATGATATTATATCCTCCCGTAAAGGAATTTTTTTTGCAATAGGTAATGTTTGTGAGTGATCATTTTCTCCCAGATTTATTGTTCATATTTGCCGAAAGAATCTCGGAATACATGAAGTACAGGATTTTATAATTTTTGTAACAACAGTTGATTGGAAAACGGATTTTGTTGTAGTTACTTACTGTGACATGTTATTCACGTATGTAGAAGAAAAGGTTGCCTTAGTCACTTTCTTGGCAACCAATATCAACTTTGCTAAACCAAACCAAGATGAGTAAAGTTTAACCAATTTATCACCCCGATCAGACTTCGCTCTTACGTGTTTTTGTAATACAATGGATATGACCTTGGGAATACCACACCTGGTCAGGGATACTGGAACAGAAAGTAAATCACCTTTATGATAATTACTAGCATAGTACCGCTGTAAGGATACTGCACATTGCTTGAAATATAAGGCAGTGTACAAGAATCCAGATTTTTGTTTTAAGTATCTGACTTGCTTAACAAAGGAATATCCCGCAAGGGCACTCTATTTGGACATGGACGCAGTGGCGACTAGAGGAACTCGAAAGAGAAGTCCCTTAAATCGTCGGGCATATTCAAACATGCCCCTCAAGGAAAACTTAAGAGATCTTTCGATCGCACAAAATAATTCTCATAAAGTAATAATAATATGTTTTGTGTGTTTCGATGATCCCACTAGGGCTTTCCACTCTCCCTGTCGGACAAGTGCGGGGGAGCCTAGGTTCCAACCAAGGGTTCTATTCCTTTAAAGATTATCTTTTCCATTAGCCGAAGCTTCTGGGAAGGATAACCTATATCGGGATAGAACTAGAGATTATAACAAGATATTAGTTCTTGACCAATAGTGAAGTAGCCTTTAGCAGCTACAACACAATTGACCTTCGAACACAAACCTTGTTAGTGCTTCATTCGACATCCTTAGAATTAACCAAACAACCAAATTACCCTTATTATTCAGATAAAATCAATCTGTGTTCTCAGAAAATCCTATTGGGAAAGTTGGAAGACTTTCCAACCGGGACTGATAATCCCGGATGATGCCAAAAAAAAAAAACAATTTCACTTTCAAATAAAATAGTACGAGTTGTAAAAGCGTAAGAGCTATATAGAACCACATTTGGCCAGCCTTACATCTTTCGATCCTCTACTTAGTTGTCTCAATTATATCAATCCTGAACTACTTCCAGCAAAGTATTCTTGCCCTTACCCTTTCGGTCGAGCACAACCTCCCGAGTGCTAGGATCAAGCAACTTCATACCACTTCGTCCCTTTCAATCTTCAACCTGATCTCTACATTCATAGCTTGAAAAAGAAAAAGAGGGTCACCTCTGTTAATGGCTATTCTTAAGCTCCCTTTCTTTGGGAGTAGGATCTCTTTCCTAGGAGGTCATAGAAATATAGCGAAGTCAGATAGTTCTTTCTTGCTTTCCTTCTATCTTTCTTTCTATTTCAAAGTGGTTCAGATCATTGCTTACTTACTTGACTTGCCCCCTTTTTTTTAAGCAAGGGAAGTCATGCAAGCAAGAGAAGTGGAATCTATTAGGATAAAAAATAGTGCAGCTCGATCAGTATAAGAATAATGCCAGGAGATTGGCAGGAAAGGTGACTTTATTTTCCTTTTCGACTTCTTCCTTTAGACTTTATTTTCCTTTTCGACTTCTTCCTTTAGAACATCATGTAAAGTTGAAGGGTAGGCCTTTGGCAGCAGAAAGGTGAGAATCGAAATTAGGAGAATGAAGAGAGGAAGAACCCTCTTTTTAAGTCCTACGTACTGCTCTTCTCTCAATCACTCTTTGATATATGGAAGTGGAAAGCGAATTGCTGGCTTTGGACGAAAAGAGAGGTTCTGTCTTTCTTCATCCAAGTATGAAAAAGATGGGACACTCGCAGACTGGAAGGAAGATAATTATTAGAACTCTCATCCGCCCCTCTCCTTACAGTAAAGTGGCTGAACATCCCTCTCTTTACCCTCTGTAACTGAACTTTCTTACCTATGCGATGAAGAGCTTACTTAGTATTGAAATCTAGTTGGCAGAAAGTACCGAAAGTCGGTTGCCCGCCCTGTCAACCCGGTGTCTCAACCAACTTTTTTCTTGTCTCCATATCTCTCTTTTATCTTTTGAAACTTCGATTCGTGACTGCTACTCATACGTTCCAAAGAGGCTTCCTTCCCTCCTTGACCTAGCTAAAGGTAAAGGTAGGGATTAGGCAACGAAGAAGAGACGGAAGAGCTTCCTCCCCCATTGATGGCTCACGAATATGTGTCCCACGTTTAGGAGAAGAACTGATATAGGTGCTTTAGCTCTGTCTCTATCCGAGGAAAGAATGTACCGATCCCCTCCTGGCATTATTGGGTTCACTTCCAAACAATACTTCTCCTCTAGCCCACCGAAAGGAAAGGGTAATGGTTATAGAACTCTAACCACATTCACTATCAGGGTGCCAACCCTCACTATTAATCAGTTTTCCCACGTTTGATAGACTTTCTTTCAAAAACCTTGACTAATAGAATAGTGAAATTACAATAGGCTGAGAAAAGGGCTAAGAGAGAAGCTTAGGATATTACTTATGTAAAGGGGCGTAACAGTTCTTTTTTCAAGCTCAAAATAGGTCGTTTATTGCTATATCTCCTTCCTGATCCCCCCCGGGAATCACATCACTTTTGACATAGCACCCCAAGAGAACCTTTTAAAGAACTATTAGTACCATTTACTTAAGAATTACTTTCTTAGTAGTTGATGCATGATTCTTTCTTCTATATAGGAATATAGGTCAAAAGTGATCTTCAACTTGACTTTATCTTCAACAATAAGTTCTAATTATTTAGATAAATAAAAGAAAATGAAAAGAAAGATATAAATCAATGGAGCCGTAATAGTCTGTTTTAACTCCTCCGCAATGAAGGAACGAGTCGCTTCCCCCTTTCCTTCACCACCAGCTGGAGCACAGTCTTCGCCGATCCCAAGGTTATCAATAATACAAGCCCAATAACGCGGCTACGAGCTCTTTCCTTACTCTGACCCCAAGTGGGCAGGGTGACAAGACTTTAAAGCAGGGTTGACATGGCCTTTGAGTACAAGCCTGGGCGGACCAATGTGCCGACGCATTAAGTCGAAGGGCCGAGTTGGCATCCAACATGTTCGAATTAGAATAGATAGCATCCATGAGGGGCTATCCTCGAACGTATAAGATATAAAAAGGACCCCGTAGCCCAGTCCTTGTTGAAAAACGTGAGCAACTTCAGTTAGAAGATCCGCTCGAGTGGAATAGTTGTTGGTACTCTTTTCATATCCTCCTCCTGTTGTGACTGGCCTCTTCCTTTCTACTTAGAAAGTGGAACAGAACTAGCAGCAGATAGGCATTCAGTTAGCTTAAAAGGACTCGTAGTTAGAAATCTCTTACTCAACAACTATCTTTAGAATGTCCTATCTCTCTCTTGAACACTTTAAAATGAGCTAGAAGGCTTCTCTTAAAGCAGAAAAATAGGAGTTATAGTAGTTTCAGCTATTGATTCAATGAGTGCCCTCACTTCCTTTCCTTACTATGATATGCCCCAAAAAAAGAAAAAAAAGTGCAACATATCAAAGAGCGATGACACTAATTATCAGTGACCTCCTACATAACATATGCGAGCCTTACGTGGACGATTTGGTAGTCTTTTCAAAAGAAAGAACCGACCACATCAAAATTTATGAAGGTCTTCGAAAGGTTAAGAAAACATCAACTGAAGATGAACACAAAAAATGTGCATTGGGATCGGGCGGAGGCCTTAAATCAGTAGGGCAATAGTATAGCTATTATTACCGACCCCTATTCCATTACTTAAGCCTACTCTTTCTTCAAGAGATGAAACGAGCAGCCGAAAATGGTTGTCCCTATTGTATTTTAGATGGAGTCATCTACAGGGCTAAGAATCTTACCTTTACTTAGAGAGGGGATAGCGGTACCACGCTCTTCCGTGCTGATAGGTTGACTCACCTATGCATCCCGACTAAGGTCTCACGCACTTATCATCCACCCAAATGGTGTATCAGAAGGTATATCCATGCGCCCTTCTCGAACCTTTGGTATGTAGTAACATAGATAATCCCAGCGAATCATTCCGCATTTTTCCTTATAAGGATTTTCTATTTTAAATTACAAAGTAGGCAGATAATAGACTGCTAAAGAGAAGAAAGAAAAAAATATTGTTTTTAACCGCCCTCTTTTGGTATGCTATAAGATCACTACCAGCGGACCATGCTTCTTGGACAACGAAGCCCAAACACCTCTATGCTCTTGAATCTGAGGGATGGACAGGAGTAACGACGCCTCATAATAGATCGAGAGTGTTCTTTTTTATGTTCTATACTTGCTCCAATCACCTATCGGATCCCAGTGCGGGCCGGCCCTCCCACCAGGAAAAGTGATCCCTAAGACTCCGGATCCGGGCAGGCATCATGCCTTATTGATTACTTTTTTTTCCCTTAAGGAAAAAATGAAACAAAATCTTTTGGGCTGTTAATGACGCCCTAGCCCTATTAGTGACTATAATGCCCACTACCCTGTGTAAGAGTAGGCATATGTTGTAGGTTGACAAGAAGGACCTGGCGATCACAACATTATATAATAATAGAAAATAGAAAGAAATTTCCTATATTATTGACAACCCTCATTGAGTCGGGATTCTTAGATCATATCGATGAGGTGACCGACCAGGGCAGGCCAGATAATGGGGTATGGCCTAGCCCTGTGCCCACACCTGTGTAGATAGATGTTCACTGCGGCACAACCAGCCTGCCTATTGATAATTGCCATAAACACCTAGCGAAGATATGGAAAACAAATAAAGTAGTCCTATGTTCGGATCTGACAATACCATACCATAATCAAAAGGTACAACGGCCCGAGCGACCAGACTTAACATAAATGTAGCCACTGGAGCCATTCTAAAAAGGGAGAAATTAGCACTACTTGGTGAAATAGGTTCTTTTAGAATCAATTTCAAACCATCTGCTAGAGGTTGTAACAATCCAAACGATCCCACTACATCAGGACCCTTTCGACGTTGCACAAAACCATTACTTTACGTTCAGCTAGCACTAAAAAGGCTACTCCTAGTAGAAGTGGTAGAATTATTCCAAGTATTTCAGCTGGAACAGCTATGTACATTTTTTTTTCTATTCACTCATGATCTGGCCTGGTCGACCCAATCATGATATTGAAGGAGGGGACCTTTTCTCGAAAAAAAAAAATTCTTGCAACTACAAAACCACAACACAAGCACTCCTTTTCCATTCATTCTATCTGAGAAAAAGAATTTAGCATAGACCACGACCCCCCCACTTTTCATTTCTTTATCTATATGAAACCAAATGGGCGAGTCTTTATTATTGATTGGGGCCCTGAACTCAATGAGAGTGGGGATTCGCTCCTCTTCGGGCAACTCGTCCACGTCTGCAAGATACCTGACGGCGTCTACGAATTTCTCGAGCGTGAGCTCGCCCTGCGCTCCTGCCTGACGGACAACAAGTTCTTTTGCCTGCCCACAGATTTCTTGCAAGAGCCTGCCACACTGGGCGGCCTTCTCTTCAGTCTCCCGATGCAATTGGGCTATTTCCGCAGGAGAAAGGCCTACTGGAATCTCGTTGAGGTCTGGAAGCGCAGGTGCAGGATCCGCGCAAAAGGCTATTGAAGGGGCGGCGAATGCTGGAAAAGCTAAAGCAAACCAGAAAGGATTTTTATTAAAAATCGTACTTGTGTTTTTAGAAAAAGAAAATCATAAGGAAACATTATGATTATGAAAAGAAAAATCTTACTAAAGAGAGAAGTCTATTAGACAATAAAGTACATATACTATATACACTATATACGATATTCTTAGAAAAAACCTCAGGATTAAATAAAAGAAAGATATATACTAAAAACAAACTATAATGATATTCAACACTTTATGGGTGTTGACCCAAGTAGGCCTAGGCCAAGACAAGACACCTTCCCACCTTCCTTCACTCTGCAATAGCCCGACGACCCCTCTCTTCACAAGTAGGCTTGGCGCTTAGTCGATTTGAAAGGCTGGAAAGATGCAAGAAGACTGAGGAGGCGCTGGAGTGAAGTGATTCCGGGGCTGGGATCACGAACGGGAATCTAAATAGAAAAGAAGGCTAAGGTCGAGATAGTCTTGGCTAAGCAATTCATCTACCTTCTTTGTGAGGTATTATTATTCTAATTCACATTATTCTTTTAGGTAATAATCGCCTTATTTCTGTCTTATTTCTTTCTTGTAGTACTGTCGGTCTAAGGAGAGGAATGGAAGTAGTCGTCTTGCTTCTTTTCTTTGGATCCGCTTATGTCTCTACTTCGCTTGATTCTCATGCCAGTGGACTCCATGCTCTGTTTTTGGCCTTATTAGCTTGATTTCATAAGTGAGCATTTTAAATTGAATAGATAGTGAGAAAAGCGCCTTTCGTGATTCAAGTAGTAAGCTCGGATTCATGATTGAGAAAGAAATCTTCCAAGCGCGGCTTTAGCTGAATCTATTATAGGGTAGGCTCTTTGGATAGATTGCCTTAAGGCGATGAAGGCCCACATATTTTGAATCTCGGCTCCCCTCAAGGAAAAAGCGGGATACTTAGCTGAAAGGGTGAACAAGGCCGAGCGCCTTCAAAGGTTGCTCCAGTCGCCTGAAGCCTTGTGGATTGATTGTGGGGGATTTAGGCGTGTCACGCCAACCATCTTCCAGTTCCTGGATAATCGTTCCCGGATAATGCTTGCCGCAGGGGCTAACCCTATCTTCGCGCATACTTCCTTGGTTGTCTGGGAGTTGAATCAGAAGCATCGAATGAAAGGTTCTTTCCAAGACCATCTGCTATTGAATCAGCTGCTGTTGCCGGGCGAGATTCTATCTTTTCCTTGTAGTCCACGGGATTTTACTCTGGGGAAGCTCATTCCTTGGATGGATCATAACTTATACAAAGGATAGTCTCTGTAAGAAGGACCAAAGCGCACTGAAAGAACCTACCGATTCTTGCCAGTCATAACAACCAGAACGGGTTAGCCTTCGTTTGCCCCATTGGCGAAGTCATAAGTTGTGGTGAATCCGTGTCGCTACTATAAAGTGCTTTCCATAGTTCAATAGAGAAAAGAGAGAAGAGCAGGCCGATTTCCTTTACTTTATTATTAAACTTAAACAAAGAATCCTTTGACTTTTAATGCCGAAACCTTGAAAGCAAGGAAGGGCCTCTTTCCATCCATAGAATCTCTTCCTTATGCTAGCACTTTCAGCTATCTTTCTTAACCTGCTTCTATCAAAGCAGCTTGTAAACTCCGACCATCGTCTCAGTGAAGTAGCCCATAGGTATGGGATACGAACGATTAAGAGTTCTTGCTTAAAAAAAAAAGGTACGTACTAACTGAGAGTGGAATCTATCCTGACTTTCAAGTAGCGCTTGATTGAGGGATGAACCCCGAATCCGTACTTTCCGGTACTATGCCTACTCCCCTTTCCTCTTTCAAGTGGGTTGAACTCTTTCTAAGGCAAAGGGCCAAGTGTGTGCCACGAGTGCTCTGTCTTCGAAAAGGCAGAATGCTGTTATAGAATCCGCTATTTTTGGAATAGAATAAGCTTTGTGTCCTAACCAGATGCCGTGGGGCGATAAGGGGTGCTTTATCTAAACTAGGCAGGAGAACTTGGCTAACTTTCCTACTCTGATAGCATCTCTGAACGGCAGGTACCCACAACCGCCGTAACGAAGGAATGAATCTATTAAGTGGGAAAGAGCCCTCGTAAGGCCTCTCTCATCCCTTGCTTATGCTGAATCGAGATTTTATTGGTCTTCTTTGACCCGCGGGTGCGAATCGGTAGCTGTGAAACTAGCTCTGGCTTGATGACTGCTTTACTTTTCGCCTTTTCCTAGGGCATAGAAGAAGTTGATCCTGGTCGAGGTAAATGTATTTAGGAATTCATACCTCTCACTTCGTTCGAGTTGAATTACATCCGCCCTCTCATGGCCAAGGCTCCGCAACACATTGGAGAGCTTTTAGATCTCGCCCTACCCAAAACACCCATTCCCCTAGAGTTCCAAAGTGATTCTCATTCTCACTGCAGCCTTCTTAAGCCGAAAGAAAGTCGGGCAAGAATCTCATGGTAGTACGAATGGGGGAGCAGAATAGTATATGGTAGTGGTTCTTTGGATCGATCACAGGGTCTCGGCCCCGTCTTTTGGCTACCACTGCCGTTGACCTCTCTTTTTCCATCCCACCGTGAGAAGGTAGAGAGAAAACCAACCTAGCAAACAACTATTACTATATTCCTATTAGTAAAGCATGCACTTCTTGCAAGGCTTGTTGAGCTATTTCATGTGAGAGACATCACAAAAGTAGTCCATTGAACGATCGCTGACCGAGATAGTATACAATTTTTGAACCCTGATGGGTTTCGCAGTCGATCATTTGATAGCCCTGTTCCTAAGTATACATAGAATGGGGCATCGATGAGCCATGGATGTAAAGGGGTTCTTGAACCCTGCTTCTAAGAAATTAGAAGAGCACGGAATTGGTCCTCCCTCAAATAGATGGATCTGGGATTGATTGTGGAACCGAGCATAGAGAACCAGAGGCGGGCAGAAAGATAGGCTAGGCGAAGTAGTCGCTATGGAGCAGGTTCTTCGACTAGATCAATGCATGTATGAACCCTTAAAAAATCTTGAAGGTCTAGATTTTGGGTAGGGAAGGTGGTCACAGGAAGAAATGCCCTACCAATAGATTAGTCTACTAACGTCAACAATCTCTTTCTTCATATACGAGACCGTTTGATTTTATATCCTAAACTATATATATGAAAGAAAAAAGAAAGATAGATATTCCCATGGTAAGTATAGGGCAGTTGTACTAAGGAAGAGAGCTAGGGATTTGAAAAAGGTGATAGGACATGATTCCAAACCTGCCTTATTCTCAAATAGGGCCCAAGCTATAGACATTATTATATGAATGAGACTTCATCCTTATTACAATACAAGCAACACCTCAAATTCCTAAAATGCTCTTCTAGTCCCGAGCTTGGTAAATAAGGCAATGGTAAATTCTTGTTTTCCGGTCTTGTTATGATAGGGGGGAGTCACTCTTGTGTTCTCTCTCTTGGTTAGGTCAGTCTCGCTCTCTCTTATCGGTAAGTATATCTGTTATAGTATTGTTGTTGTGCCGTTTCAGTAGTGTTTGTGAGTTTTTCATTTTTAAGGGGGGAATGAAAAAAGGTAAATAAAGACCTTAGCCAAAAACAAGGGATTACCGAGGCCCGAACGAGAGTAGAGGTTTAGGTTAGGTATTCTCAAAAAGAAAAGAAAGGAAAACAGGCAGGGAGGTACGAGCGAGTAAGACTAGGTTATAGCAAGACAATAGAGGTTAGATAGCTCTTACCGGAGGAAGAGGGTTCAGGTTACCCGTCCCCTTGACCTAGACAGGAACTAATCCTTCTCTCTCTCGAATCTATGCCCGGTTTTCGTCGAATCTTTTTTATCACCTTAAAAAACAAACCGGAATTCCATCTTAACATGATAAATAGTGATGCCCACCTGTAGAGCGTAGTCCTCCCTACAGCCTTGAAGTAGACTATTTCTCGAGTCTGATCTTATCCCCAAAGCCTTTTTGCAAAAGTTATAGGTAGCGAGATAGATGACTAAAGGCTGATGCTTTTTGCCTCTTACTAGTAAAGGGAAAAGCCCTATATATCTTATTAGTCAAGCCTAAAGGCCCTTTACTAATATAATAGAAGGTAAGACCAGCTTTCGCGTAGCAGCTGCGCCCTTGCTTCTTGCCCATAGAGAGTTAGGATATTTTGTGAGCTCCGTCGGCTAGTGGTACCCTCCGCTTTTTGGCTGTAATCCCGTCCTTTACCAACACATTCAATGGATTCCACCATGAATCGGGAGTGGGCGAAGACATGCAACTTCTATTTTAGGGGTACACAGTCATGTGCTGAGCAAAGAGGTATATACCACACTCATTCACAAGTGCAAGGTATGACATCCACCTGAACCGGGAGAGGATTTCTCTAAAAAAAAGATAGGCGTGTTAGGAAACAATGTGAAGTCACCCCTATTTCGCTGTCCAGGGAGTTGTTGACTAATGACCTAAAAAATGCGTGATATTTGGGAAGCATGTGCAACCCTTCGCGGACGAGATTGCAATGACAGGAGATTGACCGGTCGGGGTCGAGTGATCTCAGGGGTTTAGGGGTGCTTCTCCTGCTGTGACTAACCCACTCTTCTATTTGAAAGGTAAAGGCCCACCAGAGAGAGGCTAGTGCTTTTATGAATGAATGCAGTAAACCCATCAATCTTTTCGTTATATATCGGGGACAGGGAACCAGCCCAGCTAACTCGATTTCCCAAAGAAAATAGCGGGCGCTCTTCCAATATTGAGCTCCTAGACCTACCTTTTTTTTTCAAAAGTATATAGAAATGGTAGGAACTTGGAGTGAGTGAACTACCCGAGGAGAAAGGGGAAACCTCTTTATAGAAGGGAAGGGAAAGGGTTATCCGCCCATAATGATTGTAGAGTCTCTTGGGGTTGGAGGTCTAATAGTAGTCACATCAAGTCCTTTCCCTCTTACTCAGAATAGAAAGTGAGAGGAATACTACTAATTATATATGAAAGAAGGCTTTTAAGAATATAAAAAATATTATATTCACGATAGAGAGCCCCCCACCTCCCTTTTCAGATACGAGTGAGTGAGCACTTTTTCTGCTATGAATGAATCACCTCTCCATTTATTTTCAAGCTTGCCCTTCAAACCGGCATATCGTTCTCCTCTATAAAAAGGTTCTTCTGTAATCACTATCAATAAGACATCCATTCCCCTTTCAAATGAAAAGAGAACTAGACTTTTTTCTTCATCATTGAAATCAGCAATTCAATCGCAGTGCGGTGCTCTAAAAAAGGTCAATCCTCTAAGGCTAAAACGAATAGTTCAGGAATTCGACCTGGATCCGCCCGTTCCGATCCTTGCCTACTAAAAGTCGCTCCCCTAGATATGTATGTTAGGAGAACCCCATTGATCCTTCCGTGTGAAAGAAAAGGTGCGGAGCGAAGGCGAACACGAATACTAAAAAGTTGTTCATGGGAACCCCAAAAAAAGGGGATAGAGAGCGCGGAACGGGCTTTCCAAGCATAGAATAATCCCTACCTATACATTCCATGGCAACACACAGAAGGCAATTTTCTTGTTGTTCTTAACCCCAGGCACATTTCTGTTCCCAATAATCTCCATGAAAAGACTACCAAGATTGCCGAACTAACAGAGGGAAATTCAAGGCATGAAAAAACTTTTCTATGATCTGCATATTTAAAAGTACGTATCATCCGCTGTGTTATCTGTTGTCTCTGCGGCCGCCAAAAGCCTACCCTCTCTCGTATATTAAGTGGGTTGGCAGGGAAAGAGATCCGGACGAACCTTCCAACAAGCAGAATAGAAGTTTACCACAAGGCCATCTCTATGGGAGGCTGTTACCCATAAGGCCATCTCGGGCATGGGAAAGAAAGGCAGTGGATAACCTACTTAACTGGAGAGCTTAAACGACATTAAAGATGAGTCCACCAGTCGACAAACAACTTCTATGTACATGTTCTTTCATTATGGATCGGTGACTTGTCACGATTGATTGCTCATACACAATTATGTTAGGTAGGCTTGGGGAGGTGATATGAATCACTATCGATACGATATGGGGCTTATTTGCTGACCGTAACGAACTTGACTCTGCCCCAAAAAGGGTGGGAAGACCTTTGACCTAGGTTGGGGATGGATTGGGGTCACTTTTCTTTAGGACCTTAGTCCATAATAAGGCTCGAAGACCTCCGGCTAGATTTGAAATGGATCAGGTAGGGCATTTGTTTACGACGTGCGTGGAATTAGTTGTTTTCTCTATTTTCTTCAATGGTAGGAAATAGGCATCAGCGGGAGTATATGGGAGGAAACCAATCTGCAGTAATTCAAATTGCTCCTTCGTATCAATAAGTAAAATCTTGACTCACACATACCACGGTGTATTGTTGTCAACTCACATAGTCACACCTAGCATCAACAAGACAACTACTCCCTGCATGCCACTAAACGACGCTATTTAACGCTTGGGTTCGCCCAATACAAGAACTACAGCCCAATCTAGCTTAAGGCTCAAGTCATGGACTATACCCCCATGAGAGCCCTCTATTTGACTAACATTCTTCCTTTTGATATCCCCCATACCTTCATATCAAAGTTGGGAATGATTGACTTTCGGATTCAAATAATAGCGCATAATGGTAGTAATGCTTCCCATTTCTTCTATTATGATCTTATCTACATGAAATTCTTACCTATAAGTGCGGAGAAGGTACCCAAGGGATAAAATGAATGGGCACTGAAAGGTCTTCAAATAAATCTTTGCCAGTACTTGAAAGACTCGAAAGACCTACTTGATGAGTTTCCTTATGAGTGAATTCGTAGGTGCCCATAAGTCTAGTGTAGCGAATGGATTATCCTAAGAGATACTTTAGCCATTGAACCTGAAACGACTTTTATGAGTTGTCTCAGTAGTGACCGACTTTATTTTATTAGTTGTATGATTAGTGGCTTAGCTGTTAGCTGTCTAAAAGGTACGGTAAATAAAATCCCTCTTTTTTAAAACAATAAACCATTAATCTGCCTTAGGTACTCTTTTAAGTCCGTGTAAGGCAGAGGGAATGAAGGACCTACAAGAGGATGAAAAGTCGTAGTGCGCTCGCGCTAGCGAGTTAGCGCAACTACTTAGTGTCTTGTTTTCTTCGCTGGTTTTTTTTTACATAAAGTCCGTAGGAAAGCGGTTGCTAAGGCTTGTAGCTTGCTTCTGTCCTTAGTCAATATTAGATTGAAGTTGTTCTGACTGCCGTATATTTTTTGAACCGAATACCTTCCTCTGTAATCTTAGGTCTCTCTCTTTTTGAGAG